TGGGTTACCTTGAAGCGAAGAAGTCCTAGGCACCAAGCGTGGGACGGTACATGGGCTTTAAGCCAGGATTGGAGGGGCCACATATGAAGCAGGCCCAGAGGAATTGCAGAGGAGGTGGTCGACATGAGGCCGAGTATCCTCTAAAAAATGTTGAGCCGCTAGCCACTGAATAGTCAGTGAGTATTCCGGCGAGAGCCAGGTCCGCATCTGGGCCAAATCGATAATTGTCCCCAGGTAGACGACCTGCTGGCTGGGAGACAAAAAGCTCTTGGCTAAATCAATTTTCAGTCCAAAGACACTCCAGGTGGCTGAGCAGCAGTGACTTGTGAGCGAAAAGTTCCTGCTTTGATCTGGCTAAGATCTGGCTAACACAAGCCAGTCGTCGTTCATAATGCGGATTCCCATCTGCCTCAGAGGGGAAAGATCTGCACTTCGCAAAAGTGCACGGGCCAGAGACGGTCCGAAAGGCAACCACCCCCTCGAATGCGAATCTCAAGAATGGTATGTGATGTGTGACTAAGTTTGTAAAAAAATGTTATCTGAAATAAGGCCATAAAACTCATACTGAATAGTTCTGAATAAGACTTTTGAGTAATCAGCCTTGTAGGCTAGAATGTTTCCTTCAAATTTATGTGAAAATCATTCTGCTCACTCGTTCACAGAAAACAATATATTAATTTAAATTTTTTAAGACATGTTTTGGGTTAGAAAGGCAGTGTGCGAGGGAGTGACAATGACCATGAATATTTAGTGATTCACACCTGAGAGACAAAGGGCCCTCCCCTAATGGCCCATCAGTGTGACTGTGAGGCAGGTAAGAAAGAATGTGAGGAGAGTAAAATAATGGGGTTTTGATTATTTGTATTTTATTTAAAACACAGTAAAATCAAAATATACACAGTGAAGGTCAAAGACATATTACTGAGCACATTGATCTAAACCCAGAGACGTGAACAGACTTTGTGTCATTCCTGAAATCAGATTCTGTTCAACAAGTGAAACAAGTAAACCATACCTGATATTTCCAGTGTTTGCTGCTTCTTTCCATGGATTCAAGAAAAAAAATATCATCAGTAGTCAAGGAGCTTGTTTTACCATATTTGTGTAGAATTATCAGTCTAGTTGAACATCTGATATTGGTACAGCATTCCCAGAAGAAAACAGTTTGAAGAGACTCAAGTGAAAGCCAGCAGGATTCATCTGTGGATGAATCCTGGTGCAGGTATCAGATCACTAAAGAACAAATAACAAAAACAAAACAAAAAAACATCTGTGAGCATGTTATTATCATTTACCATATTTGTGTAGAATTTCAGTGTAGTTGAACATCTGATATTGGTACAGCGCTCTCAGAGGAAAACAGTTTGAAAGTCAGCAGGATTCATCTGTGGTGCAGGAATCAGATCACTAAAGAACAAACAACTAAAACAAAACAAAAACATCTGTGAACATGTTGATATCAGGAGCATCTGTATTATATATATATATATATATATATATATATATAGAGAGAGAGAGAGAGAGAGAGTATGATTTTGTAGTCATAGACTCACACATGCTTTGTACTATCGTAAAAACTGACATTTTATATCTGAGAAATTAATTATTATTGTTTAGCACATTATAAACATCTATTCGCGAACAGAGTATTAATAATAAACATTGGTCTAAACATTCTTAGACTAACATTCATCATGTTTCAGTGTAAATATTCATATTACTTTTATATCGTATTGTTTTATATTATATAGAGCATAAAAACATCCTCGCGTTGTACGAAATTTAGATACAATGAATTAAATCATATTCAAAATGTTTCACTCGATTTCAAACATTTTAGTCTGGAATTATAGTTTGGGAAAAACCCAAACAGTAAATGTGTTCAAGTTTGTCAGAGTAACATGTTAACTAATGCAAATAAGAAACATTACTTACTCCTCAGAAATGATCTCCTCCGCTGCTCAAGCCACACGTTGCATCGCATACTTCTTCTGAGGTAAATCCAAAGCTTATTCTTCACAGCGTATCTTCTTCCAAAAACGAAAAGTATCTGAGATGAAATTGATGAATCTTCAGGCTTTGTTTACGGAGGAAATGTGGGCGTTTACATGTTCGCGCATCTCACGTGGATGATTACCGTATGAATAGCGTGTGCTGCGCGTGGGCGTGATCATATTACAGATAATGAGCTCAGACGGGAAAGACTGTACATCACGTTGGTTTCATACAGATTACTTTATCAGATAATATTTGTTTTTAACATGACTTAATTTTAAAGTAGACACTTCAAGCTTTCTATAGTGTTTCTCATGTCTGTGTGTGAAGTATTCACTGAGTTTCAGTTCATTTTAGTGACGCGTTTCAGAAAGAAGTTCGCGGAGACTGAGATGGCTGAAAGTACACCCTGTTCGTTTTCTTTATTTTACAAAAGCACAAAGTTTTGTTGTTATTGTGAGTGCACACAAATAAAAGTAGACACTTAACAGTTTCGAATGATGTACAGTATAACATTTATCTGTGTGACCAAAATCGACAAAGTAATTTTAGCATACCTGTCAACCCTCCCGTTTTTCCCGGGATTCTCCCGTATTTTACCATTCTATCCCGCTATCATCCCGTTTAAATATTTTCCCGTATTTCTCCCGTATTTTTTATCTTTCTATAAAAATATCCCACTGGGCATATTTTATATGTTTGCCACATTCGCCTCCGGTAAAACTCCCGTAATTTGTATGGCCCAAACCTCATTATATGACTGGTTTAGACCAAAGCCAAAAATGACCCTTATTTTTATGCAGAAATCACACAGTTGTAAATGTGAACTGGTGGATCGACAAGAAAATAATGAATTATAAAAATCTAAAGATATAGCCTACACTAAGATATAATTATCTTACTAAATGAAAGAAGTAAGTGTGCAAGTCTGTCCCATGCCTTCAAAATGCCAAAGTGCAGTGCCCTTAATGGATACTAAATCCAACTATCTCGAATACCGCTCCAGATTCTCTCCTTTTGCAAGCAGACTTTGCACTTCAGGCAGGAGAACATGTGAATCGCTGTCCTGTACTGATGTTTGAAAAGCACCTCTGAAGCTAGAGAATCTGCGAGCGAATTGGAGCGAGTAGCCTCGTTCTATGATATGCAGAACCCAGCTTGACACGCCCAGGAAGACTTCCCAAGCCAAGAACTGGGCAGCAAGTGGTCTGAGTTTTTCGAGTGGCAGGGCGCTGCACGAAGGCAGGGAGCTAACCTTTGTGGTATTGTGAAGAGGAGAAGTGCTCTTTTGAGTATGTGGGTCCGTTATTACAGCAGTAATTTGCTCGGGCATGAGCTGAGAGGGAAGGAACTGGAACTAGAGAGTGAGCATGAGACTTCTTTGAGGGCGGTCCGGCCTCAGCGGGACATGGCACTCTCTTCTTTCTCTTTGCATCTAGATCAGGACGGCTTCTGCGGTTCAGGGTCCAATGCCACTCTGAGGTGGGGTCCCTGGCGCTTAGAGAAGAGGTAGCTTTTAGCTGTCTGAGGGTGCTGTCGGAGCCCAGGCTCTGATTTTGGCTGAGGCTGAGCTGGAGACAGCGCAGGCTTCGCAGGCTTCTGGGAAGATGGAGCCTTCTGGTGACCTGAACCAGCTGCCGAGCTGGATTTCTTAGGCAGGAGGTGGCGCATAGCTTGCGATGACTTGCAGTAAAGTGCTATGCAACACCGTCTATGTCAGGGCCAAATAACCCCGTGGGGGAGACAGGGGAGTCGAGGAAGGTGACTTTGTCTGCATCCTTGATCTCCATCAAGTCCAGCCAAAGTTGGCGCTCAAGCACCACCAAGCTCAGTAGCCCCTCACTGCAGAACAAAGATCCAGGGGACAGGGTTGGATCCATATCTAGGGGGTGAGGATGGTAGGTTTAGGGGTGGAGATGGGTGGGTTTAGGGATCAGGGGCTGGAGACGGGTAGGTTTAGGTATATGTAAGGTGGGAGGAGTTGGATCTGGATCCAACCTCGCCCCCTGGATCTTGTGTTCTGCAGTGAGGACCATCTCACCAAGTTTGCCATGGCCGTGCCAATCACCTGTGCCTTAGTAGCATGCAGAGCCAGGTCAGTAGCTGTGCGCAGCTCCTTAAAAGCATACAGATTTGGTCCGGGCTCGTCCAGTCCACAGAGGAGTTTGGCTTGAAACACTTGAAGCACCACCATTGTGTGAAGCACTGAGCCAGCCTGGTCAGTCGGTGAATAATCCCTGTCCAGTAAGGCCGAGATGGTCCTGCAGGGCTTGGATGGGTGCATAGCCTTGGTGATGATCCGCCAAAATAGATCAAACCGCTTGCTGCAGACGAGGGGCTTTGATCCTCATGTGCAAAGCATGCGGGTGAATCGAACTGCTGTGGGGAGAGTGAAGCACGTTGGACCTGCGATGGAAAGAGATCACTCAAGCCTGGTTGCTCAGGCCTGTGACTCCACTGGTTCTTCCTCAGAGGCTCCTGGGACAGGAGAAAAATGAGAGTGGGAGGAGCGGGGCCATCTTCATTGAAGAAGGTGATCTGCAAGCGAAGCAGGGTGAGGCTTATGCTCTCGCAGTAAGAGCAGTCTGTCTCAGCAACCGCAGCCTCAGCGTGGGTGACGCACTCACTGTACCTGTCAAGCCCACCCCAGGCAAGTGACGCACTCACTGTGCCTGTCTAAATCACACTCAAGGTGCATAAATTTGCAACAATGCTGCAGAAATTTGCTCTTTGTGATCTCCGGATAGCCACAGAGGAGAAGCAATTTTTTAAATTTTATATATTGTGTTTTTGTTGCTATTTGTATTGTTTTGTGTGTGAAATGCATGTTGAAACCCACTGAAACAAAATTTTCCCAAGGGGATATTTGGTCCCTATAACATAGTGAATACCAGTACACACACAAACACACCACAAGAATAACTTTAGCGTCATTGTAATATTTACTCCATATGTTTATTATTTATTTAAAACATTTAAGTTCTGCTGCTGTTTCACTTTTTCAGATTCACTTTTGGTCACAAGAACGGTTTTGTTAATCTTCGTAATAGTGTCTAATGCAGTGATGATTGGTCTTTACATATTGACACTGGAAAATAAAACAGGTACAGTAATATTTTTAATATGGTTTATAATTACAGCACATCACTGACCTAGTTTATCTTATAAATTGTTTTCATGCTGAAGTTCATTAGTTTTTCTTGTTTGCTAACACACAATTAATCATGAAACAATTATAAACACAATCTCAAAACTATTCACCCCACTTGCACAAACTTTAAAGTTGTGGTATTTGGATCCAGGGGTGATTCTTCTTATCTGGATCTTTGTGCTTTAAAACTTAAAGCATTTTTTTTCCAGTTGAGGCAATTATCCAAAGTCAAGTCTTTTATGTCTGTTAATGAATTCGAAAGGGTTATACATAATTTTATCTCGATTACTGTCATGCCCTTTATGTGGGTATTAGCCAGGCTTCCCTCACACGTTTGCAGATGGTACAGAGTGCTGCCGCTCGTTTGTTAACAGGAACACATGTCGGTAATACACTCTATTTTGTAGGGGAGAATTTGGGTAAATCTAGA